GGTGGAAGAGAGCCAGAGGCGGTCAAACAATGACTTGGCAGCGAAGTATGAAAGCAATTACCAGCAAACTCATCTGCGCTGGTCACTGCCGTCTTCCTGGATGGGGACTTCGAGACGGGCCACATCAATGGCTAGAGACATTGTCAGACATGGCCCAGTCGCGCCCTCAACGGCGCTCGTGCATCTAACTATTGCCTTCACTGCATAGCTCCTTTTTTAACCCTCCCCCCCCCACTTGACAGCCCACTGTACCTATCCACCCAAACCATCGATGAACGAAACTGCGGCAGCTACAACCACTGTACGACGAGTACGCGGTTATTACGGCTGACAATGAGGATGATTATGATGATGATGACGATGACTGTAATCTCACAAATATGTTACGTGTATAACAGACTTTAGCATACTTTGACTTCAACTTTGAGAGTCTACAGAGTAATCCAAAAGTTGGACAGTCCTCACTTTAGAAAAAATAAGGAAAAAGAACGCTTTCTTAATTTCTAAGTGGTTATAATCACCACTCTTTTACTCAAAAAATCACTTCGTGATTATTCTTCTGAGTCTTTTTGTACTAATACATACAGAATACTGTGGGCATAGGCTCCAGCTTTCTAAACACGACCGTGCACACCTTGTCTCCAGCCTCAGCCAAACTTGACAGCAATTTTCCCGGTCGTACCAGGCGGATGCTTGTAGCTGGAAGTTTTCTAAACATCGGACCTACGTCCCCATTTTGCTTGCCACCTTCACAAGCCCAGCGGTCCCAACCGGATACAGCTTATCTATTTGTTCGTGCGCAATGCCACAAAGGTGCCACCCGCTAGTCAATGAGTCATAGTGATTGCTGGGTGAGTTCTGAATCTGCACCAAACATGGCTGCAGGAGGTCTCTTACCATCTTAGTGGAACTGGGATCATGGATTTCCACAAATGCTTGTTCCTTACGAAGGACCGATGCACACATTCGATCGACTATTTTAGGTTATCAAAACAACCTAGTGATTGTTCTTATTAGGAATCCCAGCACCCGGAGTATGCTGTGTTTTGTCGGGTGGAGGGTATGCTTCGAAAAAAGGACATACACACGGTCTGTCCGTACTGATTTATCGTGAAATATGATTTTGTTGATGCACAACCTGTGTGTCCGAAGCTCCAACGGGATCGTGAATCAAAACACCTCTTTGTGTCCTATCAGATCTGCTCTGGTTCGCCACACATGTTCGCTGCTACTTATAAGTGAGGGAGAGTGGGTTCGATGCCCGTGCGTCTGCTGCTGGAAAGCTACTCACTGTAGGCGATCCGATTTTTCAGCACATTTAGAAAAGGTAACATCTGCAAATATACTTTATCACAGTGATGCATATGCGTGCAACGTACTTTCAGAAACCACCACACCACGGGTTTCCCCATCGATCAATAAAGGGAATTTCTGTGACTATGTGGTAAAAATCGTCTATATTCAGGGGATGCGCTGGGAACGTAGTCAAAATCGCTATAGAAATACTTCTGGGGATGATAGGCTATCTTTTCCAGCTTTAACTTTTTATCATCTTGGCTTGATCTAGTCCTTCTGTAGTTGATTAGTGCTATCAGTTTCATGCACATAGTACGCATGCCCTTAGCTACGCAGACGGATAATTCATCTCTATCACCCTGTTACCGATATATGTGGGTCAAACTTAATTTCTATGTTTTGCTGTGTGTTGCAGCCCAGAATGCCAGCAACTGGCAGTATGCCGCATTTGCCATTCAGTTCTGTGGAGCCACCAGTGAGTTATTTGCAACTTCCGTGGATTCTTGTCAACTGCTTCCAATCGGTCTATCCTGATTGATGTAAGAAGTTCGAGTTATCCAGGAATCTGTCTCTTCCAGAAGGACAATCACGTCTTGTGCACGATTATGATAGTTTGATTTAAGCTTACTCGTCCTGCGTTTTGTGTAGAAATAAAGCTGTGTTAAAAACGGTGGTTGATAGAAATTACTTGAGTAGTCTTCCCGTTCTGATCACTGTAACCGAATAATTTCCACGAACAAGGATATCATCCTTTTATGATTGAAGTGGTGTTATATGAAAAGTTTAAATAATGTGAGCAGATTGCGCCAGTTAAAACGGCAAAGTAAAACAAGAGTTTGTGGAGACATCGAAAGGAACGAAACTCAGCAGTCGCTGATGTCATCCTGTACAAACAAATCAGTGTTCGTGGAGGACGCAAGAGTTTGGAAAACTGTTCTAGGGCCACAGACCAAGTAAAACAAGAGTTTGTGGAGACATCGAAAGGGACGAAACTCAGCAGTCACTGATATCATCCTGTACAAACAACTCAGTGTTGGTGGAGGACGCAAGAGCTTTGGAAAACTGTTCTAGGGCCACAGACCATGTTTCAATACAATTATCTTTTTTCATCCCTTTCATATCACATGATATGGTGTTCAGTGTCCCTTCAAGAGGCGATTTCCCAGGATCCTTTACATGTGATTCCTACTTCTGATAGATCCCAACACGGGCAAACATCTGTCCGGCTTCTCGACTTTTCAGCATACACCACGGGCACTCGCAGATTGAATCGAAATATGCGACAATCTTGAAGTCCTGACAGTCGCTGGTAATCTTTTTAGCCACAAGATAGTTGGAATAGGGCGACCTTCCCCTTGAAGAGCACAAGGTTCATTTATCGTAAACAGCTTTCTGTGGATAGGATGGCTCCATTATTATTTTTTGTGTATATTCAATATAAAACATACAGTATGTTCTCAACCAACTACTGAAGTCCTTAGTTCGGAGTGTGGTGGGATATGGCGCTTGATGTGCTTGCAGAAGAAATAACATCCCGAAGAAATTTCCCGTCAGTATCGTCTAATCTAATCTTGCCGGTGATATTGATCATACATGTCCAAAAAGGTGCGGTGGATTATAAAGGTCTTTGTAAAACATTCGACGTCTTCTTTTCTTTTCCATCTATGATTTCTGGTTTGTTCCACGGCGCTTACAGACGAATGACATCGTGGGTCACTCGCCGACTTTCAGTTGGTTACCTTCTTCTATAAGATAGAGGTTTAGTTGGTAAAATATGGATTATAAGCAGCAAGAAAGATGAAATTGGTGATAGGCTCTCAAAGACTCTACTGCACACTTATGAGTAGTCTCGGTAAATAAAGCTTTGTTATGAAAAGAATAGAAGGCGCAACACTGGCAGACGTGTGAATGACGGTTCCAGATCAGCCGAGGTGACACGTGGTGGCATGCAGTTGTCAGCGGTCATGAAGAAAGTAGCTTAGATCTTAAGCACATTAGCCTAGCTGACCCGCATCTCACCCCCTTAAGCATACTGTCGTAGCACCTAAAAATCCAAACAGCCGAATAAAAATTAACAGTGGCACCTACTTGAATCGCCTTGAACCGGAAGATCTGGATCCCAACTCCGACCAAAGTGAACTTAAATGTTTCCAACCCGTCGACTGTATAGAAAATCGTCCAACAGTATCACCCTTTCGGTTACTAACTGCCTTGCTACCCGAAGAAAGCACGTGGGCTGAGATCCTGCCAGGTCGCCCAAGGCTAGACATGGTAAATCACAATGCAGAGGCTGGGTTCTCAAACGTCGGATCTTCTGGTCCGGAAATTCGCGCTCTAACCAATGAGGAACCTCATGCTGCCCATCGACTATAAAGTTTTATTACCCATACTAACCGAAAAGACCTTTTTACTGACATTCATCAGTGATCCTGTATGCCAGTCTGAGGAGATCTCGCTGATTGGTTCTCTCTGCCTTGATGAAGCTTTAGTTTCAGAAGCGACACCTTGTTCAGTTGCAACATCATCATTCGTCCCACGAGCCCTTCTGAAACAAAAGAACCTAGATGTAGTTTAAACGTCTCAAAGCAACTGGAAAAGGTATGTTGTTCCTGTATTGAACAGTTCAATATGACCGATGGGCTGGATAGTGGTATTTTCTTCATAGGCTCAACCAGTTGGAATAATCAACGTTTGGTTGTTGGTCTGTTCGCACTGCACTGACGATGTCATCTCGATTGGTGATGAAACGTTTGCAATCCAACTGCCAAGCTCGGCGAACAGACCAACAACCAAACAGCGCACCCGAGCTACCTACATTCCACAACATTGATAATCAACGTTTTGCTAACTTTTAGCTGTACGTTCCGAACGATAAATGGCGTAAAAAAACCTAACCTTGTTTGGTTGAGTAAACACTAATTGGGTCTATTTATTGGGCGATTGTTTGGAGACCGACTCAAACTGGTATTATTTTATTCTTCTCTAGTTGAACGGATCTTGGAGGATTCTCCCTACTCGATTCTCAATCGTAAGTTTTTGTCATCCTAATGTCAGCGGTTTATGGTCATGATCTGGCGTAGTTTACCTCAGGCTTGAAGTCACAAGCTGATGAGTTATGCGACAGAAAATGTCTTTATACACAAACAAGCGACTACTGGTTTCCGTACTACTTGACACCGTTAATGACATTACGTCATATCTATTCTCTTGGGGGGTAATTCTGCGATTCGTTATTAAATTGTTTATTGTTCCCTGCAAATTGAAGAGTTATGAAACAACTGAGACTTTATTCAGGCAAGTAATCGGTAGTGGCAACGCTGCTAAGAGAAGGTTCTGATCACAGGTTGTACATCGGTGTGCATGTGCCACGAAGTTACGAGCAATTACATTTTGTTTATAGTCACACCACTCTCGTTTGAAGGGTCCTCCTTGTGTTCTGGTATAATTATTCAGGTGAGTCCATACCAGGGGGAAGCACTGTACTCGAGTTTCGCTCATCAGCAGTGCATATCCAATGGCCCTGCCGGATTCGAACCCCGGACATCTGACATGGANCGTCAGGTAGCGTGACGCAGGCTCGACACCAACTGGGTAGCTTTTTGGTTTCAGTTTTCGGGGTTTTACGGGATAGGTCAATCGATCGTCACAACCAGGGCAGTTAATTGGTGTCGTTCGATGAGTCAGGCACACCAATCACATCGCTCAAGTGTGAACACGTTCGCCTGTTCATGTGTGGAAATTCAGACGCGCCCAACGTGCGCTGCTGGAGTAGTGGTCGCACGCTCGCCTCGCATGTCAGAAGTCACGGTACTGCTGATGCATAAGTGAATTTCTTGATAGAATCCAGTGTATTTGGTGAAACTTCCGTAAAAGGAACGGTGCAATCTTTTTAATCCAGCTGAAGTGTATTGAATGTTGCTCATCGGTTCCGTATGGGAAATGCATTAGGCCGAAATGGGACTTTGGTTTTTACTATTCATTACGCATTAAAATTTATATCGATATTCAAACAATATGCACCAAAATGGTCTCGAAGCAGTAATATGGTTTGAATTTATGGTTCGTCCCATGTCCTCTTACCGGATGAGAATCACCGCAATCAAAAATTTATTGCTGTCGCTCATTGCGCATACATGATAGTTCACCAGTGAGTGCAGTGAACTGAGAGTCCAACTATCGATGGTTTGGTCACGAGTCATAGTATCATATTCTATTCATTGGATTTACGGATAACGCGTGAGAATTCTTCTAACTGCTCACTCAACACTAAAGCTGTTCTAGCGAGTCAGTTAGACGATCCAGGCAAATCCGTAATATCGAAGTTTCGATTGATTAAAATCGAAAATCAATGTGGATTCTGTATTACGGATAGAAATGTGAGCAACCAATAATCATACTAGGGTCAGAGAGCACAGGGTATGGAATCTTTTTAGATTCGCTTTGTATCAGATCCAATAGTAGAATTAATGAACTCGAGGATCCTGTGTACCAGGTTCTACAGTCAATAACTGGCAGAAGCTAACAGAATGCATAAAACATGCCGCCTGTGAAGCTCTGTCCTATGGTCGGGTCATTAGCTGTTCTCACATACATTCGGTTAGAGAGCAAAGAAAGTGAGCGTTTGTACAGGAATAAAGGGTCATCCATAATCGTATGTTCTCACGTTGTCTACCCTCCCGATACACACATAGAAAAACTTCCGGTTTTTGTTGGTGAGCTGATTTTCAAATCTCCCACGCGAAAATAGCACCCCTAGTGTTTCATTGTGTATTCACAGACAGCACTGCTAACTCATCAGAGTTTGCTTCGCTCAAGAAACCCNCTACTGAAGTCCTTAGTTCGGAGTGTGGTGGGATATGGCACTTGATACGCTTGCAGAAGAAATACTATCCCGAAGAAATTTCCTGTCAGTATCGTCAAATCTAATCTTGCCGGCGATATTGATCAGAAATTCACGCTCTAACCAATGAGAAACCTCGCTCTGCCCATCGACTATGAAGTTTTATTACCTATACTAACCGAAGAGACTTTTTAACTGACATTCATCATCGATCCTGTATGCCAATCTGAGGAGATCTTGCTGATTGGTTCTCTGTCTGCCTTAAAACTCGGCCAACCTGGTAAACTACTCACTTCGCTTGATGAAGCTTTAGTTTCAAAAGCGATACCTTATTCAGTTACAAGCTCATCATTCGTCTCACGAGGCCTTCTGAGACAAAAGAACCTAGGTATAGTTTAAATGTCTCAAGATAGCCATGAAAAGTATGTTGTTCCTGTATTGAATAGTTCAATATGACCGATGGGCTGGATAATGGTATTTTCTTCATAGGCTCAACCAGTTGGAATAATCAACGTTTTGCTAACTTAGAGCTGTACGTTCCGAACGATAAATGGCGTAAAAAACCTAACCGTGTTTGGTTGAGTAAACACTAATTGGGTCTCTTTATTGGGCGATTGTTTGGAGACCAACTCAAGCTGGCATTATTTCATTCTTTAGTTGAACGGATCTTGGAGGATTCTCCCTACTCGATTCTTAATCGTAAGTTTTTGTTATCTTAATGTCAGCGGTTTCTGGTCATGATCTGGCATACCGAGTTTGCTTTAGGCTTGAAGTCTCAAGCTGATGAGTTATGCGACAGAAAATGTCCTTATACACAAACAAGCGACGACTGGTTTCCGTACTACTTGTCACCGTTAATGACGTCATCGTCATATCTATTCTCTTGGGGGGTAATTCTGCGATTCGTTATTAAATTGTTTATTGTTCCCTGCAAATTGAAGAGTTATGAAACAGCTGATAGACTTTATTCACGCAAACAATCGGTAGTGGCAATGCTGCTAAGAGAAGGTTCTGATCACAGGTCGTACGTCGGTGTGCATGTGCCACGAAGTTACGAGTAATTACATTTTGTTCATAGTCACACCACTCTCGTTTGAAGGGTCGTCCTCCTGTTCTGGCGTAATTATTCCGGTGAGTCCACATCAAAGGGAAGCACTGGACTCGAGTGACCCGCCATTCGGGACTTCCCCGTCAGGTAGCGTGACACACGCTCGACACCAACTGGGTAGCTTTTTGGTTTCAGTTTTCGGGGTTTTGCGTGATAGGTCAATCGATCATCACAACCAGGGCAGTTAATTGGTCGTCGTTCGATGAGTCGGGCACACCAATCACATCGCTCAAATGTGATCACGTTCGCCTGTTCATGTGTGGAAATTCAGACGCGCCCAACGTGCGTTGCTGGAGTAGTGGTCGCACGCTCGCCTCGCATGTCAGAAGTCCGGGGTTCACATCACGGTACTGCTGATGCATAAGTGAATTTCTTGATAGAATCCAGTGTATTTGGTGAAACTTCCGTAAAAGGAACGGTGCAATCTTTTTAATCCAGCTGAAGTGTATTGAATGTTGCTCATCGGTTCCGTATGGGAAATGCATTAGGCCGAAATGGGACTTTGGTTTTTACTATTCATTACGCATTAAAATTTATATCGATATTCAAACAATATGCACCAAAATGGTCTCGAAGCAGTAATATGGTTTGAATTTATGGTTCGTCCCATGTCCTCTTACCGGATGAGAATCACCGCAATCAAAAATTTATTGCTGTCGCTCATTGCGCATACATGATAGTTCACCAGTGAGTGCAGTGAACTGAGAGTCCAACTATCGATGGTTTGGTCACGAGTCATAGTATCATATTCTATTCATTGGATTTACGGATAACGCGTGAGAATTCTTCTAACTGCTCACTCAACACTAAAGCTGTTCTAGCGAGTCAGTTAGACGATCCAGGCAAATCCGTAATATCGAAGTTTCGATTGATTAAAATCGAAAATCAATGTGGATTCTGTATTACGGATAGAAATGTGAGCAACCAATAATCATACTAGGGTCAGAGAGCACAGGGTATGGAATCTTTTTAGATTCGCTTTGTATCAGATCCAATAGTAGAATTAATGAACTCGAGGATCCTGTGTACCAGGTTCTACAGTCAATAACTGGCAGAAGCTAACAGAATGCGTAAAACATGCCGCCTGTGAAGCTCTGTCCTATGGTCGGGTCATTAGCTGTTCTCACATACATTCGGTTAGAGAGCAAAGAAAGTGAACGTTTGTACAGGAATAAAGGGTCATCCATAATCGTATGTTCTCACGTTGTCTACCCTCCCGATACACACATAGAAAAACTTCCGGTTTTTGTTGGTGAGCTGATTTTCAAATCTCCCACGCGAAAATAGCACCCCTAGTGTTTCATTGTGTATTCACAGACAGCACTGCTAACTCATCAGAGTTTGCTTCGCTCAAGAAACCCAAAACACTGGAGTTAGAAGAAGTTGTCGGTGCCCAACTGTTTTTGTTTTCTTTGTTGTTATTCTTTTGTTGTTGGTATAGTCTAACTATTCAACGCTAGCTGGTCAATCAGTCATTCTTGACCAATTTGAAACAATTGGTTCTTATTGGCTTTAAAATGGTTGGCATATAAACGACGCCATATATGACAAGTTGAATGTCATATAGCTTCATTGTTTCTTCCTCGAAATTCCTACCATACACGGGGACTGGCCGAGTTTCCTCCTGCCAGTAGTGTCATTGTCCTTTACCTGAACGAAGGTATTTGTGTCATTTGGTTCCGTCATGCTGCGGATGGTCTACTAAACAAACTTCCGATACTCAAGAGGACAATGCGTAGTTGAGGCTCGAATTTGTAAGTGTCACCGTGCACCGAAAATAAGGTTACAATAAACCCCGGGAGCAAAAACACCAAGGCTAGTTCTTCCCTCTAAACAGGCACCCAAATGATGGGTCACTTTTATACGGCTGTAGGTCGATCACAGAAAAAAAACTTGGAGCTATTACTTGGTGCTTGATACATACATGTGTCCGTGTCATATCATGTTCTCTGAGTTCCCATAGATTGCCCGTTCATCCTTTCTGCTAGACAATGATAAGATATTCATCATACTCACTGTTAGCCCCGTTTTGAATAAAGGCCTCTAGTCTAAGAGATCCGTGACGTACTCCAGGATAATAGTCAATCAATCTCAACGGCCAAAGATTTTGTAATTAATAGATTTGTCCTTAACACTGAGGAAGTCGTCAGACGTTCTCTTTGTTCATAAATGCTATAATATCGCATTTTTATCCACCACTAAAATCTATGCAAAGCTCAACAGTCCTGATTTGTCTCGTCAGTCGTAACAAAGCATCCTTTCTGCTGTTTCTCTTACTGCATACCCGAAACCATGCGTCATTCTTCCAATGACGCTACAGAACAAACAACAATTTTTTGACACACTAGGTTTCTTTCAATGTGGGACCTTGTCGTGGTCAGGTTTTAATACTTGTCGATAATACAAGCCGATCATAAATCTCCCCCTTATGCCCATGTCATGTTGGCCCGCCTGGGAAGAATAAGTCGGTATCCACGTGATCGAATCTTAATTCCGAGAGAATGACAGAACTTCAAAGTTATTCGTCCACCCATTCAAAAAACCGTACTTATTTTACAGGTGAAACACATTCATGCAATATTTCCGGAGAGGTTCGATCGTTGATGGATTGGCTCCGTTGTGAGCGCGATAAGTCGCTGGCAGAACTCCAGTAAGTACACATGTATCTCACAAACTGTACCAACGGTTGTTATGTAATCCTACCCCGAAAACTTCAACGATGTGGAGCCTTTCATCCGTTTTGGAATCTCCCAGTTTAGCCCATTTCGTATAAGACCCACGGGCTTCTGATTTGCAGTTATAAGCTGGCGCCTTCAAGGCCAGAGGATCGCTGGCCAAAAGCCACGTGTCCAACTGTTGCTAAAGCCTGAAAGCAGAAGGAGTAGCCACATAAAAACAACATTAATGCAACGTTGATCCAAATTGCCTACTTGAGAGAATTTTAAATAAGAGACTTCTTTGGAAGCTGTTCACCAGGGGGCTACTTCGCTTTTGAGTAGACGAGATGATTACAGAAAAAATGCAAGCAGCTTTGAGTGTATGTATGTCGTTCAGTTTAAACAGATTTCTGAATTTTCTTTCTTGTCATTTACATAGTTACTTCTATATCAGTGAACGTATTATGTGATAGTAAATAGACGAGGCAGAAGATTTACATATCTTTTTGTGACTTTCACTCGCTGAAAGACTGAGGCTAGCGTCCATTCGTGAGTCTCATGCATAGGGGACACGTACGTAACAGTCTGGATCATGCGAACACAAGGTTCATTTGGACAACTTAACTAAGCTGTTGCCCTTTTTATTACTGTAGTTTTTCCATAAGCTTGACAGTTTCGTGGTAGGCGTTTTGTACTCAATTGAGGTGATATTATCAGTGCGTAGTTGGCTAATGGCGTATACTCTTTCCGTACATGCCTGCTGACAACTTTTTAAACTCTGGACCATATTAGTTGGTTGGATAACCAGTTCTAATGATGGGCTTGCTTCGTTGAGTTAGAATTGGTCGACGCTCTGACAACTTTTGTGCTCCACCTGTCCGACTCGTACCCATAGCCTAAGTCGCATTGGTTCCACTGTAGATCTTCCACTACGCTCCGCTCGTTTGACAGACTGCTTCAATAGATTTAGCTTTCCTATTGTTCACAGGGTTGGTCCAGTGTGACGGTTCATGAAATTTGTGGTAGGTATTATGTTTCTAGAAGATCTCTTGAACGTTGGATAACTTCCTGTGCCATGGTCTTTATCTTATCTTCAATGAGTCTGTGACCATTTTGGACCTCATGAAAAAAATCAGATTTCCAGTTATGTCTACATGTAGCCTCTTCATGTTCGTTCCGTCGTGCATAAAGTTGGTTTTCGCTCCGTCCAAAGTAGCGTTTTTAGCATCTGATGTATCTCATTTTATAGGCATTTCCAAGGAGCGTGACAAATTTGTCGAGCTCAGATGACGGTCCAGTATTCAGCTACACAACCGTTTCTTCCATATCGGACGTTATTCTTTTAGCTGCTAAGCTCCAAACAGGATGAAATGCGTCCTGAAGTTCAGATACACCTGAAAGTCTTTTCGATACCTTTGCCATTATTCACACACACACACACACACACACACAAGTACATAGCACAGACAACAAACTTAGTAAGGTCAAGTGTCAGTTAACAGCGACAGTTAACAGTTCAGAGTTCCATTTATTCACAGCTTCCCCGTTAGAGTTTTCCTCTTACCGGATAAGAACCGGTGCACTTCTAACAGAGTGTACTGCCATCGCCCGTTTCGAATGCATGTTAGTTTACTAGTGCACTGACGACGTTTCGGTTACTGGTTGCAGCATTGTACTTTATTGACTGGATCTGTGGATAACACAACGCGGTTCCACGGAAGCCACTTCGGTCGCGGTGGCCAGTTCTTAAATAAAAAACGATTAACTTTGTTATCCAAGCACCAATTTTTTCTACACTCATCAGTCAATGGTAAAAGAACAAAATCAGAAACTTAGAACGAGACTAATAGTGCTGGTGTTTTTCTGCTGCACACTCAATTTGTGGAGCCTGGTGGAAGATTTGTATGAGAACTACCGTTTATCTCCATCTGTCAGCTTCCTCGTTCATGAGGAAAGGGACCAAGATGGACTGAAATATTTCATTTGACGATTTACGTCCTATTTCTACCTAAATATTCAGTGTAATCCACTTGAACTGATTGATCTTGTCACCTGTTTCATGGCCTCATACACTGACTAACTAGCTTTCTGGTTATTGAAAATACATAGGGACAACGTGATCGGACCTAATCAGTGTCGCCTCATATCAGCGGACAGACGTGCGCCTGTGGGCACATCCAAGTTGAAACTTGTTCCCGTTGTCAAGAAGTGTGAACCGAAGGCAAGTGATCCCACGTTGTTCCCGAATTATATCCGGCCGCCTCGGCACAGAGTTCGGAGATTAACCTACAACGAGCGAAGCTGTCCCATTGGGTACCGCAAAGCAAAATCACTTGATAGTTACACGGTGAGCGGATGTTCTAAGCACGTTGTTACTTTGCTCAGACAATCAGACTTCATTAGCTTTTTACTTTAAGAAAACTCTCTATAGGCGGAACCGATGGTATAGAGAATTCAAACTACCATTTACCTTCCGTATGCTTACATCACTGGATATATTTTCTTGACGTTACCTGTTAATCATGGGCTCTCTAAAAACTATTTGACAGCCCTCGCCCTTCCTAAGTTCCATCTGGTAGGCGCAGCTCTGAGTTTCTATAAATACTTTGTTTTTCGTGAACTCTAGAAATGCACTCATTAGGAAACTAATCTAGAGTTAGTGTTTGGGAAATGTCACGGACAAAAGATTCAACTAGGATTCGGGTAGGTCTCTAAATTAGTTTGCAGCCGAATGCACTTCATTAGTCAATATGTATTACTTCGGCTGTCAGTGTGTCCGCTGAATAAAGGTACTGCCAATTTCAGTGGACCATTCTATAGATGAACTTCCACAGCAAGTAACGTATGTCAGATTTTCTGCAGTCACATAACCTTGTTGTGGCCAAGTATGTTTTGTCCCAAGCACAACGTTTAGTGAATCGCAAGATTGACAATTTCTCCAGAACTCTATCCACGGTTTGTGTAGAGATTCTAACATATCGACTGGGATTTCGCCCTGCAGTGGAGTCATTTCGGATCACGTTTTTAAACAGCCCCTTGTGGCGGACTGTTTCGAAGTTCGGTTATTCATTGTTGTTGATGTCGTACCTGTAACCCATCTGTTGTGCGTGACTGGAGAGAATGAAAATCTCCGGTTAATCAATATCACTGTGCTTTTTGCGTCAGTTTCTTGCTTGACTGCCTGATTGAGCACTTGGGGGTATAGACATGTCGGAATTCTTGCGACAGACTCGAGCAAGGTCTTTCTCTCTCATCCACCCCTTTCTCTTCTTTTCATTCTAAAACTTCAGATATAATGAGACTTCGCGGTTGCACGGCAGTGATGCATCGTTCTCAACAGTGTTGTTGCTGTTTTTGATGGTGATGATGATATTCAAGAACAATACACCGCAGAATACCGTGAGCTTTAGTCGGTCTTCAAAATCTAGGCGACTAATATAAGAGTGACAGATTCTGTCAGGCGTTTGTATTTCGGAGGTAAATATCAAAGTAAGTCACGGAAAGCACAAAGAGACGAAGACGCTGGTAGTATCATAGAAGATGTTGTGGCGCGGAGGTCGTTAAGGAGGATAGCGTACCGTATGTGAATCTAGTCAAGGGATTCTGAGAACAGCACACCTAATTAAGNAAGAGACGAAGACGCTGGTAGTATCATAGAAGATGTTGTGGCGCGGAGGTCGTTAAGGAAGGTAGCGTACCGTATGTGAATTTAGTCAAGGGATTCTGAGAACAGCACGTCCTAATTAAGGAGGTTGAAATTTTCCCTGTTCGCTCTCACCTGTCGTCCACATGCGCGAACGTGTTCCAACTTCACTGCGCTTGTCATCCTGATGTACTGTCAAGGTGACTCACATTACGATATTCTATTTGTATGATTCCGACCTCCCCTTTTTGCAGTGTATTCCGTGCCCACCTGATTCATTCGCTGACCTTGAGACGGAACTTACTAGCTGCCAAGGTTGTCCGTTGGCTCGACCGTCTACCTATTCCGCCGAAGCGGCAAGTTCGGCTCAGTGCTCAAACGATCAACTTAACAAATTACGTGGAGTAAGTAAAAGTTGCCGCCCAGATACCTTCACCATGTTTCTCCGCCTGGAATTCTGTTTGAAATGATTAGTCAACTTTTGGTTATTAAGGTTTTCTATTACTTACAAAAAAGGTAGTTCGAATAATAGTTTGGAGTGGCCGGTAGGTTAGAGATTCCCCAGGTGATTCCCCAGAATAGGTTTCACGTTTTTCTGCTTGCGCATTACTTGCTTTAAATTCTTACTCGCAGTGCATCAGCTCTCTTTCCAATTTGAACAAGAATGCTTTATTCGCCAAAATGTTCAACAACTGTGTTGTATATTTACATGTACTGAAGAGCAGTGATCCCTGACGTTAAGCTTCCAGCAATGAACGCCGCTTTCCGGTAAAAAGCACACAAAAGTTAATTCATTGGATTACCACGAATTTTCGCGTCCTTCATTACTCCTCTCAGTCGCGCTGGTTCCTGAATGGGACAAACAATTGGTTATCAAGCTTAACAGATACACTTGTAGCACGCAACCAATAGCGATTGTGTATCAAACCGATCACCTTCTCACTAGCGCCATACAGAACCAATCAGAACAACTTATAAACTTTTTGCCCTCTTGTGCATACCAAAGAACTGCATTCTAAGTATGGTAACCAATAGAAGCACCTACTTATTACGGTCAAAGTAAGCGAACGAACTACCGACCGCTGCCTTTAATTCCCGTCGTTTATACATTCAGCTGAACCCCGTGATCATATTCTAGCTTAAGTCTTATAGGGTAGCCTCCAAATATGTCCTCCTAACGGTTCCCATGCTCCGACTAAATATTTGAGAAGGGTTCATCCAAATGAAATCGATGCTTCCAGTTAGCGTTGTCAGCTGGATCGGTATTCGACACATTGGGGGATCAAACAGTCGAGTTAGGCGCAATTCATCTGAAACGTGCTTACTGTTGGAACAGGATGGTAGGGTTAAAAGTGTACAACCAGTTGCTCTGAGGAGTGTTCACAAGGACTAGTTGAGAAAGGAAGGGAACAAATGGACACGCCCCATACTTTTTTCTGTGCTCCACATTCTCACCAATCCCAAAATATTCTCCCGTAAATCGCAGTTATTTTTCCGCTACGATATGAGCAACTTGTCCGAGGATGAGTGGGATCGCAGCTTCAACTTGAGCGCTCAGCTGTGGTGGAATCAAAATCACACCAGTATTACAAATTTGGACCATTTAAAACCGGAAGAGAAGTACCTGGAGCAACAACGGCAGGCTGTGGCTCTGTTTCAGGTTAGTAGACTTTTTCTGAGTCCAGCACAAAGTATGTGGGAGTCTACTAGGCAGTCGACGTTATAGGATGTTTATCAAAATTCACTTAGGAGCAGTGATCGTAGAATCTACCTCTATAGACGACACTGGTGGATCTGATGAATAACTTAGTAAGCTTAATGAGTCTACTTTACTGCTTTTCAGCAGTTTGTTCATCTTTCTATTTGGATGTTGATGATCTCCGAGATATACTGACTGCAAAAGATGACCAGATGGGAGTCACTGTCTTAGAGTGCGATATGTTTTACTACTGACTAGCGTCACTTCGTGCAATAATGCGAAGCGTTTGGTTACTATTGGGCAGTGTTCTGGGATGTGGTGTGTTGCTCCGTCAAAGCGCGAGTACGAAGGCTCCAAAAGTAGGACCATTTGCCGCATATATGTGAACCGATAGGTTTGAGGTGAGTTGGGGTCAGAACAAAGGAAGGATTTGACAAAAAGCTGTCTATCTAGGATGGAGAGACCATCTTCGTTCTTACGTACATGGACATTTCAGTATATACTTGATCATGGTTGAATGGTCACCACCTATTGATGTGCTTTTACAGTCAACTACTCACATTTTACGATCAAGCAAAGCATCATCTCCTTACTCACTGTCCACATTCGGATACGCTCATGAACCGTACGGCAGTGGAGCATCGGTGTTGAACACTGATGTCATGCTAACCATGATGATGAGGATGATGATGATGATGAAGACGCTCACGAACCATGACTGAGTAATAGTCAGCAAGTCATAACTCAATACTGGACGTGTGGAGCCGTTTTGGTTCAGTTGAATTCGGTAGTTCCATGACTCGTCGCTGAACCCCTCTGTTAGCCCCAACGTTAGAAATGACTAGTACTCTTTTACATGTTCGAATAAGAAGCAGGCATTGTCCACTATTTTTATAGATTTCAGGAACAAAAGGCGGAAATAAAAAAGATAAATGTGCGAAAGTAATAGACTATCCAGTTACACAAGTAGCACATCAAATTTCAACCTTGTCGCACTTACTACTGACAGCATGCTGTGTACGGAAATGTTTGTCATTCCTCAATTTCACTCGTTCTGTACCTGATCAGTTATGTCGTAGCCACCTGCGTCATGTATTCACTTCACTTACCTTATTCTCATTGGGTGCTCAGCCCCTCACACACTTGCAGGTCACAATTTGGAGCTCTTCATATAACTTACAGTCACGCAGGAACACACGTGCTACTCACATCATGACTGAAGTCCAAGCAGAGCCACGAGTTAAATATACTCCGTAGAGTTTTTGAACAAAAGTTGTAAACAGACGGCTTGTCTCGGAAAGTTTCGGTACAGTTTTCGCCACAATGCATACTGAGAACTCAAGTCAGCAGGTTCTGGTGCCAGAAATAATGGGCGGACGGCACAATGCTTTCAAGAATTCTTAGCAGGTAAATAGGATTCCTAGATGTTCCGATATGGACGAAATCGGAGCACAACTTTAGGATCATCATATTCTTTTCAGACTGAAAATTTAGTGGTATCCATCTACATTCATTGATTAGGTTTTCGGGGTGTAAGCAAGCCGTGAGCACACGTGACTCCTCGTATTACAGGCTGTCTGTCGCTGTTCCCATCGGTTCACAGGCAATGACGCAGTTGACGTTCTCAAAAGGTGAGGTGTTCCTCATGCTAATGGTATCGGCCTCTTTGTCCGTCTTTGGGGGTGTGAACTTTCTTCTACTGTTGGCAGCCACAAGCAGACCAGCCAAGTGCCCCGGGGCAGACTTCTACGGACCCCAAGCGAGTTTGAGGGAACGTATCGGTATGGCTATTTACTGTGCCCTTGCGAGGTTGGCTATAATGGTGAGTAAGCAATATCAAGCCCGTTTTGGATGAGTTTCTCAGCCTGAACTCCTAGAGACCTTAGCATGAATAACAGCTAAGTTATCTCTGTTTAGTTTGTGACGTTCTGTCTCAGGAAATGAGGGGAAACCCGCATACCAATTACATACACATATAAAGGGGTCATAGATCAGTATCAAGCCAAGAAACGACAACCTTCGCGGATTAAGAATGCAAGCCTGGAATCAGGGTAAGCTCGACACCACAACCATATGAACAATGAAGAATATCGAAAATGGGTTGATGTACTTCAGGGTCTGGTGATGAATCAGGTGACGGATTCGTTCAACTGAAGAACAATCTTCGTACAGATACTCTCGGCAAATCACCATCTGGGAGCAAAGGCCTCACTCTGAAAGACCACCACTATGGTCATTGTTGTAGACTGCCATTGCCTCATGTGCGATCAGACAAATAGTCGGTCCGAATCGTGTCAGCTAGGAATCTTTATCCAGCGGTCCGAAGAAAACGTGCAGAAATTAGTGCGATATACGAAAGGACGGCACAAAAAAGTAAAAACTAGGCAGATCTGCCTAGATAACAGACAATCGAACGAATGAAATCAGCAGTTTTGATGTCAATCACCGAGGATCATTACATAACCGATCTCCCTTTGTGATATTTCTGTCGAAGTTGGACTTAATAGGCCAGGCTATATATATATATATAT